GCACTTAAACTATCACTATAACAAAACTAATATTAATAAACAAGAACTTATTACAGCTAGACTAAAAATCAAATGAACCGACGCCAATCTGTGTAGCTTCCCTATATTACTTTTTTCTTTCGTCAGTCAACTGTTTCGAATGTTCGAGCAAACACTTGCAAAATAAAATAAAAGAAATAGTCTTTAGAAGCTTCGCTTCTAAAGAAGAACAATTTGAGTTCGTCGCCAGTCTTTTGTTTATAAAAAGTTGAAAATGTGAATATTGAGTACGGGATCATAACAATATATTTAAAATTGAATTGTTTTGTAAATCTCAATTGAATCAATTAATTAAACAATACAATATCTATTATTAATAATAATCATATTAATTATAAATGAAATAAACTTTCAAACAAAATTTTCCAGGCCTATTTTTAATTAATTTTTTTTTATATCGAATAAATAAATAATGGAAACATGTAAAATTAAGATTGACTCTGCCAGATAATGAAATTTTTTTAACATCAATTAACAATGATTTATATATATATATATATATTATTAAATTTGGTTATAAAAAATACTAATCGAAAATATTAACCATTTCAACACATTAATTTAAAATTATGTGCTAAAAAACATTTTCTAAACATTTTTTTTTCCTCTATTAATTTTTTAATCCTTGATAAAAAAAAAAAAAAATCATCATCATCATCATTTAACATATTGAATTGTAAAAGATGTAAATTTTTTAAATCAACTTTTTCAATGTGTCATATATATATATATATATATAGACCTTGATATTAATTAAAAATTTTATTTTTTACACTTTTTTCATGCTTGAATATTAATTATGAATTTATAAACACAAAAGGCGAAACAAAGAATTATATATTGATGGGGTCAATGAGTTAAAGTTTCCCTAAAGTTCACAAATAATTCAAATTAATTTAATTTTATATTATTGGCAAACATGTAATTTTTTTTTTTTTTAACTTAAAGTTGGAAAAAAAAAAAAAAAAAGAAACAAATTTTTGCCCTTTTTTTTTTTTTTTTTTTTTTTTTTTTTATTTAGTTGGTACGTTTTACAGTGAATTAGTTTTATGAAAAATCTCTCGTTTCGATTATTATTATTTTTAATGCTTACCTATTGTTCTCTTGTTGTATTCTTGATAAATCATTTTCATGTTTTTAATTTATTTCCAATCACGTTAGTTAGTATAGTTAAAAGGAATAAATTATATTTTTTACAACATTTTATATGAAAAGGGATTTCGATTATCGGGAATATATTAAGAATTTTAGTGTGTCTCATCATAAAAATCTAAAAAACAACACGATGATATGGCTACTTAAAATTTCATCTATGAGATGACTATTTAAAAAAAAATTGAAAATTTTATTAATTGCTACTTAATTGTTAAGTAATATTAATTAATTTTCTATTTTACAATTTAAATAAATGAAATTCAGTTCTTTTATTAGTCTGATAGATTGTAAATTATTCGATAAAGTTTGAATTATCGAGTCATAATAATAATAATAATAATAATAATAACTAGTTTTTTTTTCTTGTTTTAAAGAGTGTACCGTACATTTACATTAAAAATTTTTTTTTTTTAAATTAATAATAATAAAAAAGGTCTTTTCAATGGCGAAAAGAATTGGAGATTAAGAAAATCCGATATGGGTAATTCAAAACGATGTTTTTTTTTTTTTTTTTTTTTTAAATTTATTTGGGCGCTCGTTATGGACCAAAAAAATTATTATTAATGTAATTCGAAATTAATGATAAATTTCAAAAAAAAACCTTCAATTATTATAACTTTATTGAATGAGAATTAAAATTCACTTATATTTTTAGAATTGAATTTTTTTTTTTTTTTGGTAAATATTTTATGTAAAAAAAATATTAAATGAAAATATTTTGCACATGTTTAAAAAAAAAAAAAAAAAAAAGAAAAACCACAACGACTTTTATTAGTGAGTCATCTTAAAAAAAAAAAAAAAAATTTTTGTCTGCATTCTTTACTTTGAATAAGCTCAGGTAAGAATTAAAAGGTGAGTAATTCTTAGAATGAAAATTCCATTTAGTTTTCATTTTGCCGTGTGTTCGGTTTCCGAGGTGATTATTTTATTATATAATTAGAAATATTAAAACAAGTTTTTTTTTTTTATAAACCTTTATCATTAGTGACATTTATTGACATTACATTTATATATATATATATATACAAAACAATTAAAAATTTTTAAATAAATAATAATCTGTTTTTTTTTTTTTTAAACAAAAATTTCGAGGCACACAAAAAGAATATAACAATTATCCTCATCAACTTTTTATTATTTTTACAAATAATATTAAGTCGTGTAGTAAATTTTTATAAAATTCATACATAATAAAAAATTATTGACCTTCCCCCCTTTCTTTAATAATATTCATTAACAAACAATAAAAAAATATTATAATAAATTAATTACCTTTGTGTGGTTTTTTTTCCAAGGAGTTTTTTACAATTGAAAATAAATGATAAAATTATTTAATTCTTTTGATTATTTCATTTAAACTTCTTTAAAAAAAAAAAAAAAAAAAAAAAATTATTTAATTTTGAATATAATTTTAAAATGAAAATTTGCAAAGTAAATTTTCATTTTAAAATTATTGATTTAAAACCATGTACATGTATGTTTTATAATTACGAGTTTTTTTTTATAATTTGTTCTCTCTAACGTGATAAATTATCCAGAACTAAAAATAATACTAGATTTAAATAGTTCAATAACATTTCTAACTACTCAAAATAAAATTAATTTAGTTTTTAAATTATTAAACTAAAAAAAGAAATTTAAAAAAAAAAAACGTCATTAAAATTTTTCCAACGGAAATTGACCAACACAAAAAAAAAAAAAAAAAAATTTCAAATAAATGGCAATGTTGTTGTTGTGGTTGTTGTTGTTGTTTTCTTTCTTTCTTATGACTGACTATTTCAGTGTGTTTATAAAAATTATTTTAAATATCTTTAACTTGATTTTATTTCCTGTTTAGGTTTATTAACGAAATTATTTTTCTGTTATTTTCCACATAAACGAACCAAAATGAAAATTAATTTTTCGTTCATGGATTTTAATTATTAAAATAAAATTATATTTTCTTTTCAGATGAACATTTAAATATATGTGCCAAAGATTCAAAAACGTGCTGCCTTCAAACAACAGAAAATTTTTTAGCTAACGAAAGTAGAAAAGAATATAATAAAGAAGTTACGTTTGCCATTAATCAACTGGGCTTGATATTGAAAAATCGAGCCAAGAGATTTGACAGTAAGTTTTTATTAGGAATCTCTTATTATGCGCGACACACAGTTGTCGGAATTATTATATTTATTCCAGGTCTCAACCTTGTTTTTCAAGGCATTAAAATACATTTTGATATTCAATCCAGAGAGAGAGAGAGAGAGAGTTTTTTCAAAATTTTAATCAGGTCATACGATATAATTTTTTTTTTTTTTGCGTTTATACCGGAATTTAATTTATTAAACATTTTTTCATGTTTTATGTTTCACGTGTGAACGGGGGGACCCATTGATATTGTGTTTTCTTTTGTTTATCCTTTTTTTCAAATATTTCTATAAATTTATGTTTTTTTTGAATATTTTTATTTATTCTGAAATCTATCGAATTTTACATATATAAAGACAAGTTCTCCTTGATTATTGTCAGATTTCATTCCATATTTTTATTCTATTCTTCGGTAATGATTGTTCGAATGTCGTACTTTTCCTTTTTGCAAATCTCTACATAAAACGTCTCATTTTTTTATATAATTTTTATAAAATCTCTTTTCACATTGTTCCCAAAGCCTACGATCATCGAAATAATTTTTGTTTTTATTTTTCTTTAATTTTTCACTTGTTTTGATTTTTAAATTTTTTTTTTTTTTTTTTGAATTAAATTGAGAAAAATTTTATTCATGGGTTTCTACTACAAAAAAACAGGTTCAAACTCAAGCGAACAAATATTTTTATATTTGATGCATATAAATATAAATTAAATTAAATCGAATCAAAAAAAAAAACTAATGTTATATGTGACCGGCAACAAATTTAAGTTTTTTTTTTTTTTAATAAAAAATGTATTCGACGTTGACTGAAAATAAAATAATTAGTAATATGATCTTATAAAAGTCACTGAGGTATTGTAATATTAATATTAAATGCCATAATTAATTAAAGTTTTAAAACTACCTTGAAAAAAAAAAAACAACCGCAACCACAAACAAAAAAAAAAAAAAAACCTTTAGTGCCGTAAAAAAATGAGGGGGTTGGGAAAACGTGATTCCAAACAAAAAATTGCAAATGGGACAGGATTTACCTGTCAAAAAGTTTTTTCAGTTTAAAAAAAAAAATAGGATTTCTTCAAGTTTTTTTTTTTTTAAAATATTATTATCTGAATAACAAGAAAAATTATTTAAAGAAATATAAATAAATATATATTTTTTTTTTTTTTTTTCAAAATTAAAAATAAATTTAATTTTTTTTTGTTTTTCTTTTATTTAAGGTTTTTTCAAAAATCTTCTTGGGGATCCAAAAAGAGATTTTGATAAAAATGTTTAAAAAAACTTACGGAATTATATACGAACAAAATTCGTTTGTTTTTACGGATCTTTTTGAAGAACTGGAACGATATTACTTGAAGGGACAGATAGATTTAGAAGAAGCAATGGAAAATTTTTTTACCCCTTTATATCAAAAAATGTTTACGGTTCTGAATTCTCAATATCAATTCGACGATAAGTAAATATAAATATTTAATCATTTAAAGGTTTTTTTTTTTTTTTTTTTTTTTTTTTTTTTTTTTTTTTTTAACCTCGTGGATGTAATAAACAAAAATCGATCTTTTTTTTTTTTTTTTTTCTTCCAGATATCTAATATGCATTGGGGATCACATGAAAGATTTAAAACCGTTCGGAGACGTTCCCCAAAAATTATCCGTTCAAATAAAACGTTCATTTGTTGCGACGAGAACTTTTGCTCAGGCTCTAAACTTAGCTAAAGATATTGTAAATAATATGAAAAATGTAAGAATTTTTATGGAAAAAAAATTTTTCTATTTTCGTCTTATAACCGAGTAAAATTAATTAAATTAGTCAAACTAATATTAATAAAATTAAATTTCCTGAGAAAAAATTTTTTTTTTTTTTTTTTTGTGTGTGTGTTCGATATAGTTGGGAGCCGCTGGGGATTGTCACGATGCCTTTTTTCGAATGTCACAATGCCAAGCTTGCAAAGGTGTTCCGGATTTAAAGCCCTGCACTCACTTATGTCTTAACGTGATGAAAGGTTGCCTTGCTTACCAAATGGGTCTCGAAGATGAATGGAATCATTTTGTTGGTAATTTTTGAAAAGTCATTTAACAAATTTTTATATATATATATATATAATTATTGTTATTTATTATTATTGTTATTTTTTTTTTTTTAAATTTACATTCGCTGGAAAATAATTTGAATTAATGAAAAAAAAAAAATGTATTTAAATTTATTTGTTTCGTAGATGCACTGGACAAAGTGTCGGACAGACTATTGGGTCCTTTCAACATAGAAGTTGTCGTTGAACCAATAAATATTAAAATTTCCGAAGCCATAATGAACTTTCAAGAGAATTCATTAGAAGTTTCTGAAAGGGTATTATATTATAATAATTTATGAAAGTATTACAAATCGAAAAAAAAAAAAAAAAATTATTTTATTTAGGTTTTCAATGGATGCGGGCGATTGAGTCTTAGAGGTCGAAGTCGAAGAGATATGAAAGAAATCCAATTGGAAACCTACGAATTCGCTAAAGAAAGTCATAAAATTACAAAATCTCCTCGGCATCCCACTTTAGAAAAATTAATACGAGATATAAGGCAAAAAGTTAAAGATTCAAAATCATTTTGGTCTTATTTGCCATATCATTTATGTAACAACGAAAAATTTGCTGTTGTTATGAATGACGACCCATGTTGGAATGGTTCAGCAGTAGGAAGGTAAAATTCCTTTTTTTTTTTTTTTTTTTTTTTTTTTTTTTTTTTCTGTCTCTCATACGTAAAAATTTTGTTTTTTTGCAGGTACACTAGAGAGGCTGTGGACAACGGTTTAAGTAATCAGCAAAATAATCCAGAAGTGACTGTAGATACTACAAAGCCGAAGAGCATTTTAAACGAACAAATTTATAGTTTGAAAATACTTACTAGTAAATTGAAAAATGCGTATAACGGAATGGACGTCGATTGGATAGACACGGGTAAATATAATATTGAAAAAAGAATCTTTTTTTTTTTTTTTTTTTTTACGCGGACCCCTTTTATATTAAATGCCAGTTATTTTAATATCTTTTTTTTTTTTTTCTTTTTCTTTTTTTTTTTTTGTTTAATCGTGAATTCAGAGGACTCTTCATCGGCGGACATCGGTTCGGGAGAAGGTTCCGGGGAAAAAGATGTAGTAGATGTTGAGGGATCCGGAGAAAGCACGAACGATTTAAATAATGACTACGATAAAAAAGAAACGAAAAAAATATTTCCTTTTATTCCATTGCGTCCTGTTTCTTCGAACGAAGGAACCAATTCCGTGTCTAAAAATGAAAAGGGCGTATTGCCCAAATACAACAATGGTAACGGACATTTTTCAAGCGGTACCTCGAACCTTCATAGTCAAGTTTCCCTTTTCAGGGCGGTCGCAAGTTATTTGTTGCCTATTTGCATTATTTGGATAGGTGGATTAATTTCCGAATGGCTGTGAATAAAATAAAATATTTTTTTTATTTTACTTAAAAATAACACGATTAATTAATATTTTTATTTACTTTTCATTTTTCTTTTGTTTTTTTTTTTTTTGTTTTTTTCTATACATAATTTTAGTGAAACTATAATGAATGACTTTTTTTTTTAAAAATAATTTGAAATATTTTTTTTTATTTTTCTCCGTTTAAATAATTATTGCTTATTGACAAAAAGAATAATATTATTAATATTTGTGTGTAAAATTATACACACACACACACAACAGTATTATCGAGTAGCATTTTAATTTTTTAAATAAATAATTATAAATTTATTTGCTCAAAGTGTTTTTAGGACCATCGGTCGCTGGTTTTATAACGAGTGACACAAATAATATGATTTTTTTTAAAAAATACGAAATTAATTATTTCACTGCGAAAATGATAATAATAATATAACGTTCTAGTCTTAAAATTTTTTTTTGTTAATTCTGTGCAATTTAGCCAGATTTTTTTTTTTTTTTTTTTTCTCCCGAAATTAATTTCTATAAATATATATAAAACCACCACGTCATTTAGTTTCTCCGTTTTCTTTATTACATTTTTTTTTCTTTTTTTTCTTTTTTTAATTAAAAAGGTCAATGAAAAAAGCTGCCATTTAGCAGTTAGTAGCTAAAAATTTTTATTTCTATTTTATTATTTTAAATATATGATTGATTGATTGATTGATTGATTATTTTAAAATATAATATTTTGTATTTTGTGACTTAGTTGATTACATTATAATAATAATAATAATAATAATTTTTTAAACGTATATTATATATATATTTTAGTGTTTTTGAATTATTTTCTATTTTATTATTTTAAAAAAAAAATTTATATATAAAAATTATTCCAATGTGTATTTATATCCTAGAAAAAATTTTTTTTTCTTTTATCATGTCCTAATTATTAATTTTTACATGTGCGTTACTATAATAATTTTTTTTTTGTTTCTTTCTTCCTTTTTACAAAAATAAATAAATAATAAATGCCGCGGCGGCGGCGGCGGCTTAGAATTTAATAATAATAATAATAATAATGTTAAGCAAATAGATTATCTCCACGTGTATAGGCGAATGTTGTTTGTTTTTGACTCGTAAAAGTTTAACCGGTAAACATTTGTCGTTAATAATTCACATTACAAAAAAAAAAAAAAAAGAATAAGGAATGTCCGTAGGAATAAAAAAAAAAAAACATGATGATAGAATTATAGAAATTTAAAAATTATTTTTTGTCCTTCACATTTAATTAATACACTTAAGCAAATAAAAATGATATTTTATTTTGTTTAAAGCATCATGTTACTACGACGTTGTGTGAAAAATTTTTTTTTAAAATATCCGAGAACTTGTAATTCAATTATTTATGGTACTCTTTACGTGGGAGCCGAATTTTCACAGCAAATTTTTTTAATTCAAAAAACAAACGTAAGTATTCCCGCGGTTTTTATTACCTTATTTGTTTGTCTTGTCTTTTGTTTTTTCCTAAATAATTTAATTTTACATTTTCAATCAAATATTTTTTTTTTTTAACCGACCAAAAAAGAAAAAATATTTGTTTGATATTCATTTTAAAAACTAAATAAAAATGCTGGGGGGGGAGTGATTTTAAATACTTTTACTCTAATATTAAACATGGACGATACAAACACATACACACACACACATTTTATAAAATTAAGGAATATATTTTAAATGCTTATTAAAAATATGCACTCCTCTAATTTTTTCATTTTTTTTTTTTTTTTTTTTTTTTTCAAAAAAATGAAAAGGAAAAAAATTCAATAAATATAAATGCTTTAGGAAGATATTTTTTTGTCGGATCAATCATCAATTCCAATTATCTTTACACATGGGGAAAAAATTTTATTATTATTATTATTATTATTTATTAAAAATAATTACCCCCCTTTATATGATAAAAATAATAATTTAAACGATCGCAGTATACTTTTCAAGTTTTTTTTTATATTATATATAAAAAAGTTGGCATTTGTAAATTATTATTATTATTATTTGTGAATTTGTTTGTTATGGTTTAAGGTACCTTTGGTTGGATAAAAATTATGTGGGAAATAATCGTAAAATAATAATAAAAAAAGTTTTATTAGATCAATTTGTTATGACTCCGCCTTTATACGTAATTTTCTACATAAGTATGAGCCTGTTGGAGGGACGAAAAGATTTTTTATCCGAATGTAAAGAAAAATTTTTTAAAACATTTTTTGTGAGTTTTTTTTTTTTTTTTTTTTTGTAATCTAATAAACAAACGTTATCATTGTTATTATTATTTGTTTTGTTTTGTTTTTTTTTTTTTTTTTTTTTTTTTTTTTTTTTTAGGGGAGTTGCCTTTTTTGGTTACCATCCCAAACAATTAATTTTTTGTTTTTCCCTCAATCAGCAAGAGTTGTTTATATCGGAGTTTGTTCATTTATTTGGGTAAACATTCTGTGCTGGATCAAGAGAAACAACCAGTCATTATAAAAATACTTTTAAAATAGGAATTATATTCATTCGGATACAATAACAGTCGATATATTACAACAAATTATTATTAATATTATTATTTTTGTTTTAATGGCAGAATTCAATGTGCGTTTTTAATATTAATTTTTTTTTTAAAAAGTTTTTTTTTTCCGGAAATTTTTTTGCTCATCATTCCCCTTGTTGTCGGAATAATAATAATAAAAAAAATGATTCGCTCAACAATTTTGATAATTACCTTTACATTTTGTTTCTTGTTTTATTTTATTAAAACTTTTTTTTAAAAAATGAATCGGTGAAACGAACCTAGATAAAACACATTCGTTGATATCAAATGTTTTTAGTAAAACGAAGAATATTTGTGAAATTATTATGTCTGTCAATTTTTTTTCTTTTTTTTTTTTTCCAATTTTACAAAATAACTCACTCCTCTTCACCAAAAATTTGATTTAAAAAAAAAATATATATATATAAATATAATTTTGTAATTCGAAAAGGAATTTACTGTAAATCTTTCTTCATGTACTCCAAGGTAAAATTTTTATCTGCATCGTCATTTAATAGCGTCTTTTACTCTATGGTTATTTCAGTTGAATTACAGTTGAATTAGTAAAATGATTAACGTTCTAGAAAATGTCGTCTTGGAAGGTTTTACAGGGATTATACCGTCTGTTTGCGTCGGAAACGTGGGTCAATTGGCTGCGGATTTAATAATACATAGTTTAAATTTAAAAAAATTGGGATACGTTTGGCATCCGTCCGTGATATCACTCGCCGGATCAGATCCTTACGGGTGGCATAATTCTATTTCTTTGGGCTTGGAAATTTTTTATTCGAGCTCTCTAAAAATAATTGTTTTTCAAATACGCACAACAATTATAGATAATAATAGTTTCGTTCAAGATTTGGTTTCTTGGTTACTGAAAAATAAGTTGAAGCAAATAATAGTGTTGACAGGTAGTTCGGCTCACGAAAGAAGAGATGAACAATTAGTGGGAAAACCGTTACGTTTTTTATTTTGTCCCAACACAAAAAAACTAGAGTATTCCAAAGCTCTCGAAAGGCAATGGGTTGAATTTGAAAATGTGAATATTTCAGAGAATTCCTCTTGTAAATTTTCACTTCCTCATATGCCTGGTAATAGAAAACATTTTATCCCTTAAATTTTTTTTTCCCCAAAGTTTTTAATTCATAAATTTAAAATGTTTCATTAACATTTTCAGGTTCTGGGTTTGCATTGAAATTATTTAAAAACTGTTGTGAAAACAATGTGCCTTGTTCAGTGTTAATAATGTTCTGTTCAGATGGTAATAATGCACCTGATGCCATGGATTTAGCAGATTATGTAAATGAATGGTTATTGTTAAAAGAAGAGCAAAAATTAATGAATTGGATGATTCCTCCTTCATGGAACCTGGTTTTCGGGTCTTGTCCTCCATTAGAAATATTCAATTAAAAAATTGTTTAAAAAATCTGAAACATGTTACCCTGTATTTTGTAAATAAATTTTTTTAATGGTAAATAATTGTTTTACATGGAAAATTATTGTTTAAAAATTTTCTTTCAACTTTTTTTTGTTCACAGATTTAAGCCAAATTTGGAAAACTTAATTTAAAAACAAACTCGGAATTAAAGGATTCAATTAATTCTTATAACTTTGTCTCTAATGCTTGCAACAACAAAAAAAAAAGCTTTTTTTGCTTAAATTTAAAATTTAAAAAAAAAAAAAAATTTCTCAGGACATTTCACTTTAAAACCATCAAAATTATTCAAAATCATAGTTAACTTTTTATTCAATAGTCAATAGGATATTATAGTGACAAGCATAAATTGACAATGAGGAATGTCAAGAGTTTTTCTATTCTAACAATCAGTTTTTTGGAAAATAAAATAACGTGTGAATCAGCGTGAAATTAAAAAGTTTTTTTCAAGTGGAAAATCTTTGCTATAAAAGGCTAAAAAAGGACAATATAAAAAAAATATTTAAATAATAATTAATAGTATTAAGACATTCCGTACACTATCAGAAATCAATATGGCGGACGTGTATTTTGTAAGTACAAATTCACACTTGATAAATTAATTCTGTTCGATCCGTATTGAGTTTTTTTTTTTTTTTTTTTTATTAATATTTTTATTATTACACTATCGCATAAGTGAAATATATAATTAAATTTATGAAAAACTTGGTAAAAATTAATGATAAATAAGTAAAACTCTTTTGAGACGGATTCGTTTATTTTTACTTTCGTACGATAATTAATTCAAATCCCGCCGGTTAATAAATAATTTAATATTTTTCTTTTATTTATTTTTATTTTTTTCAAATGAATAATTGATGATACTAAACTCTCATTCGTTCGTTTACACTCACTGAAAATAATAGAAAAACTTGACAACAATAATTTAATATAACCAATTACGTGTAATTTTATTAAGATAATTTATTTATTCATAAATACTGGATAATAATTAAAAAATATTAGAGAATTAAGATTAGGAATCCTTACCCTACCAGGATAAAAAGTTACACGAGGAAAACCTTTGAAAAACAAAAAAGATTAATAAATTCTTTTTAATCGGTATTTAAGTTAATAGGATTAACAAAAAATGAACAAAATTGTCGGGGGGAAACCGAAAATTATATATATAGCCGAAGAAAAAAAAAGAAACAATTAACTATTTAATTTGAATATATATATATATATATATTTTTTTTTTGCGTGTATGTCGTCTACTTTGATTAACCGAAAGAGTGAAAATGTTTTTTTATTTTCCCTTTTAGTGAATCGATATAAAAAAATATATATATATAAAACCGTTATTTAAAAACAAAAGTTTCAGTGTAGTTGTTTTTTTTTTTTCTCTTTCTTTTCTCTTAACTTTTTATTTTATGTCGATTTATTATTAATTTAAAAAGAAAGAAAGAGAAATAAAAATAAAAAATGGTGAAATCGCAAGAACTTTTGATGGTGAGACCAACTCAAAACCATCATTTTTGGTCTCAGGGTTTAAATTTTGGAAATCAAACCGTCGTTGATAAAGTTTTACCGGAAATGCTTCATATGATCGATCCTCATTGGTAAAACATTTTAAAAATAAAAATTAAACTTTTTTCTCTCGAAAGAAATTAATTTGATTTTTTTTTTCTTTTTTTTTTTTTTTTTTTTTTTTTTTTTTTTTTTTCCGCCGATGAATTCTTTATGGCATGGAATTCTGGGATTTGTAATTGGAGTTTTAGGAGCTGTATCCCTAATCGGAAATGGAGTCGTCATATACATATTTACTACTACGAAAAACTTGAGAACTCCATCTAATTTATTGGTTGTCAATTTAGCTTTCAGTGATTTTTTCATGATGTTTTGTATGTCTCCGATCATGGTCGTAAATTGTTATAACGAAACTTGGATTATGGGTAAGTAATTAATATTTTTTATTAAAACCTTTAAAATAAGGAAATAAAAATTTTTATTTTTTAATCCCGCGCAGGACCTTTCATGTGCGAAATTTACGGTTTGTTGGGATCACTTTTTGGAAACGCCTCTATTTGGACGATGACAATGATAGCCCTGGATCGTTATAATGTCATAGTCAAAGGTATTAAATATTAAAATAACTTAAATATAAAAGTTACCTAATTATATTCAAAATTTTAATTTTGAATGCAGGGCTTTCTGCGAAACCTATGACGATAAAAATGGCTTTGCTTAATATTTTGTTTGTGTGGATTCAAGCCCTTTTGTGGACAATATTACCGCTCTTCGGTTGGAACAGGTAGTGTAAACTTATGTTTTTATTCGAATCCGTTACCTTTTTATTTATTCAAAAATTTATATATATATATACACATATTGATTTAGGTATGTTCCCGAGGGAAATATGACTGCTTGCGGAACAGATTATCTCACAAAAGATTGGTTTAGCAGATCTTACATTCTTGTTTATTCCATATTCGTGTACTTTTTACCACTCTTCATTATTATTTATTCATACATATTTATTATTCAGGTTCGTATCCCAGAAAATAAATTTAACTAACGTCATTTGAACATTTATTTATTTATTTTTAAACATCACTTATTTCAGGCCGTCATCGATCACGAGAATAACATGAGAATGCAAGCCAAAAAAATGGAGGTAGCATCGCTAAGGTCTCAGGATGATAAAAAAAAATCTGTAGAAATAAAACTTGCTAAGGTAAAGGAAAGACTATAGGGGAGATTAGTCAATTTTTATTAGAATATTTTAAATTTTTTGAAGAAAAAAAATCCTCGTTTTGAATTTACAGATAGCTTTGATGACGATAGCCTTGTGGTTTTTTGCATGGACTCCGTATTTGGTAATCAATTATGCAGGAATATTTGAAACATTAACAATATCGCCGCTTTTTACAATTTGGGGATCCGTTTTTGCCAAAGCAAATGCAGTGTATAATCCAATTGTATACGGCATTAGGTATAAAAATTCACATAGAAATTATTATTCGACAATTTCCTTCTCCCTTTCTTTTCTTATTAAAAGTTTAATTTTATTTTTTCAAATTTTAAACACAGTCATCCCAAATACAGAGCGGCTCTTAAAAAGAAATTTCCAAGTTTGGTATGCGGGACTTTGGAAGATGATCACACGTCGGCGGCATCGGGAATCACGACATGCAATGAAGAAAACACGACAAAAGTTTAATTTGAAATTTTTTTTTTTTTGTAATATGTAGTCGTGTATCTGACTGAGATCACAAGTCAATCATAACTAGTATAGGTTTATCGTAATTGTTCAGATAAAATTAAAATTTGTAACAAGTTTAGTTTTTCTAAAGAGAAAAAAAAAAATAAAACAACCATTTTCAGAGTATGTAATAAAACAAAATTATATTTATTTCGTGCTGAAATAGTTCGTAGGTAATTCTGAAAGAATGAGAAAAAATTTTTTTTTCAAGTACATATTATATTTATCCGAAGAAAAAAATTAAATAAATTTATTATAAACGATTTACGTATTGAGATTAAAAAAAAAAAAAAAAAAAAAAAAAACTTTATTTTCTTCGTTTTGTTAAAATGTCGATAAGACGTTATCAGAGTTTAAAATTTGTTTTTGTAAATAGCGAATTATATATATATATATATATATATATATATATATATATATATATATATATATATGCGTTTAAATATATATTATTCATTTTTCTCTGAGTTTTCACAACATTTTTTATGAACGATTCGTTCACCACCTCTTTTGAGGTTTCCATTCAAATTAAAAAATTTGCTCACCGACCGCGGCGGAAGACACATTTACCAGACCAAAATAAATAAAAAATATTTATTGTTACAGTAATAAGTATTTTTAAAATTCTCATTTGTGTTTGGTTCTTTTCTCCTGCATTTTAGCAGCCGCTTTTTTCTTCATGTTTTGAAGTCTTTTGTCGGCAGCTATAATATTAGCAGGAGCTGGAGCTGGTCCGGATTGAGGCTTTTGATTAGGAGAACTTGGAGTTTTAGAATTGTTAAACACCGTCGAAGATTTATTATTTGAGCTTGAAGAACCGGAATGATGTTTAGAAGATGAACCCAATCCAGAACTAGAAGGTTTCGAACCTAAATCAAAGTTAAACATTTTTTACCAATTATAAATTATATATAATTGAATAATAAAAAAAAATAAAAACATATTGCATCAAGGTAAATAAAAACTTTTTTTTAATCAAATCAATAAATCTGTTTGATTATACTTTAATTTTTTTTTTTTTTTCAGAATTCCATAACCTGCTATAGAGTTTGTAAACAGTTATCTCTCTGCTTCAAATCCCAATCGGTAAGTAATTTTATAAATATAAAAATTACAGAAAATAAAATATTTGAAATTAGAATAGTACCTAAGGAAGTAGAAGAATGGTGAGAGAGTCCACTTGCAGAAGAATTTTTCGAATGACCATTACCAGAACTTTTTTCTGATCTTTTAAAAGCCGAGTTTTTGCCATCTGACAATGATTCAGTTTTAGATTTTTTTGAAGTTGTTGTCTCTACATGAATGCTTTTAATTTTAGATTGAACTTTTTCCTGAGTTTTTTTTGTACAAATAGAGCAATACCTATAAATAATTCATGTCATGAGAAAGGAAGGAAAAAAAATTCCAGTCTCGATCATGCCAGTAAGACTCACCAAACCAGACGAGGATCATTTATGTTTTCTGATATGGGGGGTTTGTGGCACTCCTGATGATATAACATATGACAATCACTGCATTCGACAAGTCTGTTTCTGGGTCCCACAGACATGCCTTTACAAATCTGCAAATTTTCAAATGGTGCAACAAAATAAAATATTGGCAACTATTTATATAAAAACAAATTTCAGAGGTAAAATAAAAAATTTTCTAGCCTTGCAGTTGAGGTCCTCTTCGAATATTTCTAATGCTAAATCTTCATCTAATTCAGGAGTCGTTCTGGAAGAAACCGGTTCAGACGGAGGAGATGAATCTCTTGATGATTTTTCGGGGATTTGTGCGTTTAAATTGGTTTGGTTGGGCGATGGTCCTCGAGAGGATTTTGATGATTTTTGAATATCCAACGATTTAGAAGTTTCTTCTAAAGATGATCCCCATTTTAAATTTAATGTTCGCGTTCCGTTGTATTTTTGCTCTATCACTTCTTTGAGCAAATACATAATTTCATCAGATGCATCCTTAGAGCTAGAATGTAATAATTTCAATGCTCTGCAAAATGCCGGTTCCATTTCAAAGGTAGCCATCACAGTGAATAAAAGCTATTCCAACATAAGTCAAAACAATCAGAAAATAAATGTAAGTTATATTCAACGTATTGTTTTTATTAATTCAAGTAAACAAATACAAAGTCACCATATTTAATTTTCTAAAAAAAAAAAACATTTTTGCAGTGTTGCCATAACAAATTAATTCGAAAAACAAAATTATCAAACTTGATGGCAGCTTGCAAATATAAAAATGTTTTTTATTTCTTGAGGTGAGACTTAAAAATCATAAAATTTAAAAAAGAATACGAGCATAATCAATAATAATCGATAAAAAAAATATGAGGAAAATTTTTTTTAACGTTTAATTCCGAGCAGGAGACCGAAGTGCAGTTTTAAATCGTACTTTTTAAATTTTATTTTTCCATCGAGAGACAAATTATTTTATTTATAAATTTCTCTAGGTGTCCAACTTTTAACTTTTTACTATTAAAAATAAAATTCTAGTTTATATTTATGAAGCGAAAACGAGATTGTGTAAAATATAACGAATACATACGAAAATAATATAGGAAAATTAATTTTTTTCTTGAAATTTTGAAGTTATTTATATAAATTCTTTTTTCATAAGGATTCGTAAATAACTGTATAAGGTAATTTTTTTTTTTTAAAACCTAAACAAAATGTATACGCATTTTACGAAATCATCATCAACAGTATTGACTATTCAAAAATCCTTAAAAAAAAGCAAGAGACAAAAACAGAGACTGAAACCTCAACTCAATGTTTTTTTTTTTTTTTTTTCTTCATTCTCACAAATAAACTCTGAAAATCTGAGAATGATAAAACGTTAAGACCCTTAATTTGCTTTGATTTGTTAGACGTTATCACATATAGGGTAAAAATCCAAAAAAAAAACACTTTAGAAACATGTATAGGATAGGTTAAATTAATGGTTTCATGATTTTATAAAAAAAAATTACATAATCATATGATATATTATGAATATTAAAAATAAAATTTTTGAAATTAATAATTTTATTATTATTTTTTAAATAAGTTTATTAGGAATTATAAAATTTTTAGGTTTTAATTACCGATTTCCCAAAAAAAAAAATTTTTTTTTTTTTTCTTTTTTTTGTTAAATTTAATTTTTAAAAAAATGAAACCCTCAAAAATATCCAAAAAAAAAAAAAAAAAGAAAAAAAAAGAAAATTTGTAAAGTAATACCACATATTTACTTTTACATAATTTTTTCGTTAGTCGTCATTAAATAAAATCAAACCCTTAACAAAAGTAAAAATAATAATTAAAAAAAAATTAAATTGAATACAATTAAAAAAATTTTTTTTTTCCTTCCCGATTTTAAATTTTACCAAAACATTGTCTTGTTTTTTTTTTTTTTTCTTTAAATCGATTACAAAAAAAAAAAAATTTCTTAAGGTAATTATTTAATATGTACATTTTAGTGCACAATAAATAAATTTCAGATAACAATTTATGTAAAATGAAATTTAAATTGAAAAGGACTTCCGTGAAAATGATGAAATCCTTGAGTAAATTTAAATCCTCCCTGACTGTATTGGCCGGATTCGGGATCCAATGGATCGTCACCGTTGTCAAATTTTTCTTTTTTTTCGGGATCAGTCAAAACTTCTTTTGCAGCTGCAATGTCAATAAATTTTTTTTCAGCTTCTTTTTTTTTATTTTCATCAGAAAAATTATCGGGGTGCCACTTTTGCGCTTGTTTTCTAATAAAAAAAAAAAAATAATAAAAATTTTATTACAATTGATGTGTTGAAAATATTGAAAATAATCAAAAAGTATATATATATATTAAAAGGTGTTTAAAAGTCACGTACCTGTAAGCTTTGATTATTTCTTTTTTCGAAGCAGATCTTGAAACTCCTAATATTTTATAATAGTCTCTTCGCTCCGATTGTTTTTGAAGCTTGTGAGCTCTTTGAAGTCCTTCCTTGGCGCGTTGATAATGATCATCTAATTCTAAAGCTTTATGATAATCTTGTATTGCTAAAAAAAAAAAAAAAAAATATTATGAGAATGATTTGAATGAAAGCTTTGCAATTAAATCTTGTTGTAAATGATTGATTAACTTTTTTACATACCATCGTCGTACAATTCGCTATTTAAATAAGCTTCAGCTCTGTCACAATATATTCTAGGATTTTTTTCTATTTCTAATGCGTCTCGGCAACTAGAAATGGCGAGAGGTAACTGTTGATTTTGTAGATAGCAATGGCACAATTTTTCATGGGCGCGGAATTTAATGGCTCGCACCGACGATTCTGCCAAAAGAATCTTATAAAAAATAGATATTAGACGTTAAAATTAAATTTTTCAACTTTAAAATTAAATAAATAATGGTATTTTTTTTTAAACAAAACCTTTTTAGCGGATTCAATGCAATTATCGTAATCCTTTTCAACGGCAGCCACATTCATTTGACTGATTAATTTATCGATTTTTTTGACTTTTTTGTAATGTGGAAAACAATCTTTGTGCTCAGGATCCAATTTTAGACACTCTCTAATTTGCCTGAAAATTTTTTCAATTTCAATTATCAATCCTTCGTATTGAAAATTAAAATTGTAAAAAAATAATAATATTGGGACTGACGTGTCACATAAATTATAGAGTAAATAACACAAATGAATGAGAGACGTTTGAGAGGGGGAAAAAAAAAAAAAAAAAAAAAAAAAAAAGATGCCTATTCATGAGCACTCGTGTTTTCACTCAAACAAATTTATGAAAAATTAATTATTTAAAGTCTTGCATTTCGTTCATTTTCGTAATTATTATATCTTTACATACGTACCTTAAACTATCTTCAGCTTCACCTAAACTATAATATAACAAAGCTAATTTGTAGTATCCAGCTGTATTGTCAGCATCTAATTTGGTGGTTGTTTTTATATCATTTATCGCACCTTCTATATTTCCCATTGCAGAATACCTTTCGGCTCTTAATTCCCTTAATTCCGCTGACCACGGACAAAACTAAGAGGTTACGAAAAACTCGTTAAAAACAATATATATTTAAACAATTGTTTTGATTCAAGACTATGCTTATTGACTTACTTCAATAACTCTATTTAAAACTTGCACGACTTCATAATGATGAAAATCCCGAGGCTGTGATTTCGCCATACGAATATCTTCTGCTACGGGATATACTTTATGATAGCTATCGAAAGCTTCGACATTATTCGGATCATAACGCAACTAATTAAAAAAAAAAAAAATTATTCTTAATAATAAAAATTACAAAAAAAAAAATAACATTGATTATTTTTTATTTTTTTTTTTAAATTTAAATATATTTACCACTTCTTGATAATCCATTAAAGCTTCATCTAATTTTGCTTGTTTAAAATATATATTACCCCTCTGCAAACGAGCAGGATAAAAGTCAGGTTTTATTTGAAGAACTTTATCTAAATCAGCTATCGCTTGACGAGCCTTTCCCAAGGCCAAAAAAACAGTACATCTTTTATATAAAGTTAAATAATTATTTGGATCTCCTTCTGCAAAGTTAAAAACATTTATTTCAAAATTAATGTTTTCATTTTCTCAATCAATCTTATAATTTTAATAAGTACTTGTTTTTCACAATCAAAAACTTCAAGACAGTAAGTATTGTTCTTTTTTTTTTTTTTTTTTGCCAAATTTTTATTAATAAGTATTTTCAATTGATTGTAAATAATTTTTAATTCTTTTTTTTTTTTTTTTTAGGATTTTCATGAAATCATAAGCTAACAATGATCAATTAAGATCAACAACTACTCGACACAATGATGTCAATTTTATTAATCCACCATGTTAGGTGTGCTTATGTATGTCAAGGTAATAAAAACTACTATATTAAAAAACATTATTACATTTTTTTAGTCAACATCTAATTTAATACTCAATTTTTAGAAACTTTTATTTAAACCAAGATCTCTTATTTGAATTTTTTTCCTAAAATTTTTAAGCTGTTTTTTTTTTTTTTTTTTAAACATACCAACAGCTGCATGATAATGAGATAAAGCATCTTGAAGTTGACCTTTTGCTAAAAATTCTCTTCCCAACTCTAAGTGTTCATTAACATTTACTATTTTACTGTTAGAAACTGCAAAAAAATTAAAAATAAATTACATAATTTTTTAACCTACAAAATTATTTTAAAAAAAAAAATGAAATCATAATTTGATAATTATTTTTGTTTTAAGCTCTATAAAATAAAATTGTATTTGTATTTTTATACAATAGGAAAAAAGTCAACCACAAGCAAATGATGGAATCTAAAAGTGAAAATCATGAGATACTATTATTAAATAATATCCAAAGGTTTCTTTCATCAATGAGTACCATGTTTAATTTAAGTAAGTATTTATTAAATTTATGTGAAATGTTTAGGTCTTGTCTTAAACTATTATTTCAAGAAAATAAACTGCCTGACTTTATTGTAATGATTTTTTATTATTAATCAAATAATAAAGTTTCAGTTGATGACACTGATTTTAATATATATATATATATAGTTATTCTAATTTTGTTTCATAAAACTGAATGAATGAATGAAACAAAAGATATTCAGGCACAAGATAAGAGTTCTAATAAAATATTTCAAAAGTAGATGTTACAAAAAATTTTCATGAGTTTTGCCTGAATTTAATTACAACTATTGACGAATTAAATTTATATATATTTTATAAAAATAAAATTAAAGCTGAAACTTTACATTTAATCTTTGAAATAATAAAAAATCGAAAAAATTGCATTTCATTTTAAGATATATTTATACACACACTCACACACACACACATATATATATATATATATATATATATATATATATATATATATATATATATATATATATATATCTATTGCCAAGTAATAAAAAATAATAGATGAGTTAATACAAAACTCACTTACATTCAAACTTTTCTAAAAGAAGTAAAAATAACCAAGTCGTGCACACCCTCCACGGGTTGACATGCCAAAAATCAGTTTCTAAATACATAACTATAAATAAATACTATAATAAATTACTCATTACGATAATTTATATGCGATTAAATACATTAAGTCAGTTAATAGTATCCATCTTGGTTATATTTTATGTGGTAAATTTCAATTGGTCTAAATCGTTTCGCGGCAAAATCGAAAAACCGGAAACGAATTAAATATTTATGTTAAGTTAATAAGCCAAAGGCTAATAATATTCAACGAAAATTCGAGAAATCGAACGTGTTTGCCGGTGGTTTTGTTTGATTTCTAAAAAGTCAGTTTTTGATTGTTTGTCTTTAACCTAAACTTAATTATTTGTCTGTCTTAAAGAAAAAAAAAGAAACATAAAACTAGACAAAGGATAAAATGAATAAGACTCAGGTAACTAATAATAACTTTTTTTTAAAACGAATGGTTGGTAATGATTACAAATCACAATCCAAAATTCTTTTTTTTTTTTTTTTCAAATAATTTCGGTTGGAAACTTTTGATTGGAAAAATTCAAATAAAATAATAAGCGTTCTCTTGTTAAAATGTATTTATATATTTTAATAATATTTGAGCAATCACGTTGGAATAAAATGAGCATAAAGTAAAAGGTTTTCTTTCGTAAATTATGTTCTTAAAAAAAAGGAAAAACATAATTTGCCTTTCCAATTATAATATGAAGGAATTTTTCAAAAAAAAAAAAAAATTACATTATTATTTATACGTGTTAAGAAAAAACGTTTTTTTAAAAATATATTTATCGATTTTAATCGAATTTAATAATAAATCAAAATCAATTTTTCAAATTGTTAGTAAAAATACAAAAAAAATAACAAATAATGAAAAATTTATTAAAGCCCATCAAGCGCAAGTAACAACTTCTTTATTTTTGCAGCAAACTTTAAGTGTTGGTTTTACATTGCTGTAAGTCCACATGTTGCTGTTGCAAGCTTTGTAGTATAGCATAGGCTGAAATTATTTTTTACAAAAAAATTAATAATCATGACACTCATAAAATTTTACCGACGCACAACAAACAATTATATCGGGGGGGGGGGGGGTGTGTGTGGGGCAAACTGGTGTTAAGTTAGTTTTTTTTTCCTTTTGATTATTTTCTATTTTATAGATTTTTTTTTTTTTTTTTGATTAGAAAAACCTAACAAACGCAAAGTACTTAAAAAATAAATAAATAATACGCAATATTTAATAATTTTTATTGTATATTTACCACGAACGGATCTTCAGTGTTATCCAAAATATCACAAAGTTTTTGAGGTCCTTCTTCTTTAGATGCTTCGGCCAAGGCTTTGCACATGTTCAAACAATTTTCCGCACCTTCTTTTTCGCAATCTAAATCAAATTTTGGGGATTTGGATGCGACGGGAGTGTCGGAGGTTTGTTCCGGTTTAGGGGATTTAAAAACACCACATTGACATTTGGACTCATCTTCGGCTCTAAAAAAACGACAAATTGTGTGGATTCAGAAGTATTTATATTTATTTAAACGTAAAAAAAAAATAATCATAACGATACGTACCTTACAACTGTGGCAGTTACCGCTAAAAGCGTAATAAGAAGTACTTTGTGTCCCAACATTTTCGTTTTTAAAATTTAATCGAAACCTAAATAAATTTCCCCCACGAAAAAAAAAAAAAAAAATTAAAAAATTTTTTTTACAATTCTTTTATTTTGTTTAAAAAGGCTCATTATTAATGACTATTTGAAAAAAAAAAAAAAATCTGTGCACATAATAAAATGTTTAGTTTTGAGAAAAGCACAAAAATAGCTCACATAGGTAAGCTTTAGTAAATTAAATATAAAAAAAAATAATAATAATAATGTTTAAATTAGTTTGTTACCTTTAAAAATGAAGAAGCTAACAACAGGTATTCCAGACGTTAACTGACACTTTGTTTTTGCGAACCTTTTTTTATATAAATCCTAAAAAAAATTTTCTAAGCCAAGAAACGAATGCGTTATTTTTAATTCTCCGCCTCCGACACGAGTCATTATCTTTTACGAGTGATTAGTACCTACAATTAGCTTAGGTAATTTTTACGTTTACAAAAAATATTTCCCCCCACTAAATTTCCAGAATATCCAGGAGTGAAACTAATTTTTTTTTTTTTTTTTTTTTTTGCTTTTAGAACTTTGGACGGTAATCCACTTAAAAATAATTTTTTTTTTTACTTATTTATTTTTTAAAATGAAAAAAAAAAAAAAAAAAATTTGATTATCATTAAAAAAAAAAAAAGCAGTTTTATTGACCTTGAATGAGGGCAATCGATCTTTGTTATTTTTTCTAAAACCCGATAAAAAAATATAAAAAATAATATTTAATTATTATTATAAGATGCACACGTGAATATAAGCAAACGAATAAAATATTTAAATAATAATAATAATAATAATAATAATAAATAAATGTTTTTTCTTATCCGTTTTAACATTGATTAAATATTTCATTGAGTAAACTATTTATTTGATTTTGATTAAAATTATTTGAAAAAAAAAAAAAAAGAACTTTTTTATTTAATTAGGTATTTATATTTAGTATTTTTGTATTTTATTATTATTATCGTTTTTATAATGTAATTTCATTTTACATAATTAAACGTTAAAATTTTTATTTATTTTTACAGGCACACACATTTAAAAAAAAAAGGAATGGATGTATAATTCAATTAAGGTAATAATTTACTTTTCATTCTAGGAAAAATATTTTTTAAATTATTATTATTATTATTAGATAAATAATTTTCTTTTTATTTCTTTCTCTCTCTCTCTCATTCAAATTACATTATTTTTATTATTTTAATAATAAAATTGTGCGATTGGAATTGTGTGGTGCGCAAGTTAACGAGGATTAAAATAAATTTTTTGAATTATCTAAATAAATTGGTGTGCTTTCAAATTGTAATTTTTATCATTTACCGATTATTAAATCGTTAATGAACGTTATAAAACGATCACAAGTACAATCCGTGACAAGAAAAAAAAAAAAAAATTCTTCATTTTTATTATTTGTTTTGACTTAATTCGAAGCCTTTAACGCAATTAAATTACCAGAATGGAATTCCCATTTAAAAACTGCAATTAATGTTTTCAAAGCGTTTTCATACCTTTTGACTCCACTTTATTTTTTTAAAAAAAATATATATATATTTTTTTAATCATACCAGAACAACAGAATAATAACACAAATTTAAAAAAATTAAAATAAGCATTCAAATGTCATTTTTAGTTTAGTTTAGTTTAGTTAAAAAACAATAAAATAAAATGTTTACGAGGATTTAAACAGGACTTTTTTTTTTATTATGAAACGCTTTGACGTTAAAACAATAAAAACCGTAAATATCTTATTTGATTCATATACAATAATTAATGTTCAGGATAAAATTCTTATGGCATATATTCTCTCTCTACTTTTATGTATTCTAATCCAAAATCAAATATTAAATTAGATTTTAAGTAAATAATTTAAGGGATATTTTACACAAGTAGGGTAAATTTATCGTTGCAATTTATAAAGACTCGTGTATTATTTTTGTAAAATTTTCAATTAATATCATATTTAAAAGTTTAGAAACGAGGATTACCAAGAAACGATTAAACTTCTAAGCCTAAAAGTTTTGTTTAATTTACTCGGCTAACATTTTTATAACAATTGTAAACCGTTGTCACCTTGATCGTTGTTATTTATTATTGATTTTCATTATTATTATTAACATCAAAGATTTTTATTTGATGATATCCGTTTAAAAAAAATTATATTTATTTAATAAGAATTTTTTTTTTTTTAAATTTATAATGATTTGCATTTTGTCGTTATTGTTGTTGTTTTTTTTTTTTCTTTTTCTAACTAAGCAAAAAAAGTATATGTTTTTTATAAAATCATTTTTTTTTTTTTAATTGTTAATAGAATGACTTAAACATTTTTTTTATAAATTCGATAGGAATTAATAAGCAAGGAAAAGGTAGAAAAGGATGAAATAATAATGTATTTTCCTTTAAATAGCTCGTGAAATTTATTCGAATTTAATTTTTCGTCTTCGACACAGACGCGTTAAATGCTTTAAATATTCATAGAAAAAAAAAAAAAAAAAATTTTTTTTATCAAATAAAATTTATATTTTATTCTTACTCTTATTGTTGAACATAATATTTTAGAAAATAATAAAACAATTTTTTTTTTTTTTTGTGTCACATTATTTAGTTTGATTTTCTTGGGCAATTTAAACACAAACATGATATGCGTGGAAAATGAGATGATTCAAAATTTACAAATATTTACTTTCTCCGGTTTCGAATCTATCATTGAAAAATTTTGATTTATTTATTATCATTTTTCTTTGATTGACGTCAATGCGATGAATTTTAAGATCTTTATCACGATCAAAGGGTCGCCTCTCGATTTTTCCAGTCATTTTTTCTTTTTTTTTTTCTTCTTTCTGTTGGTAATAAAAAAAATAAAAAAAATTTTAAACATGAGGAAAAGAGACAATTAATTAATAAATTAAAATTATTTTCTATTCTATTAAGGTTGTTACCTTCATTTTTTTTAATTTTTTTCTATGAATTTCTAACAATGATTCTTCGCTTGAAGCTTTAAATTTTTTTTTTTCTTTATCAACAAGTAAATCCATGGCTTTATTTCTTTCTTCGATCATTTTTGATTTTAACTTTGATTTGTGATCCTAAAAAAAAAAAAAAAATTATAATTTTACGTAACTCAGAACCTGAATTTTATTCAATAATAATAATAATAATAATATATAAAGTCACCTTTTCTTTATCTTTGTGTTTTCTTTTAACTTTGTCCAGAGGCGTGTCTGTCCACGAACTCGAATCCCCAGAATCATTATTTTTAAATTGTCGAAAGAGGGAAGATGTTTGACCGAGCTTTCTAGTCGGGGGTTGCAGCATCCATAATTCACGCTCAGTTTTTAAATTCTGTTTAAAAAAAAAAAATAATAATAATTAAATTTAAACATTGAACATTTTTTTTTTTTTTTTGATATAATTTCAATAAATAAAAAAAATTCTATAATTTACATCATCGTTTTTTGTAATATTAATATTTTTAATAAATTTATTTGATTGATTCTCATATTGAACGTTTGTGACTTTGAGGCTAGGAGAAGGTCCGTAAAAAATATCGTCAATTTTTTCTTCGTCAAAATCAATTGAATCATTATTCAGGTTTTTTATTTCACTATCAGAATCATTTTTTTTTATTTGGATACTAGAATCCGATTCGTCATCATAAATGTTTCTAAAATATAATAAAATTATTATGATTTTTTTTTTTTTTTTAATTATCAATGTGAAAATTTATTAAGTAGACAGAAAAAAAAAAGAAAATATTTTTTTTATGTATTTTTACAAGCGATTACTTTTTAAAAACTACTTTAGTCTCAGGGCCACTTGACAACACGCTGTCTGTCTTGAAATTTACCTCAGGTTTTCAGGTAATGCAGGACCGTATATTTTTTGCTCGGTTTCATGTTTTTCTTTATGAATATGCGGCGGCATTTTAGGTCCGTAAAATTTAATATTCCCTTCAGGCAAATCTGATTGCGGTTCACATTTTTCTCCTTTAATAAATTTTTCCTCATCATTTAATACGGTTTGATCTTCGGAAGACATGACTTTACTAAAAAAATTTTTTTAAATAAAACTCAAGGTCCAATATTTCTTTTTTTTTTTATATTTAAAAATTTATATTAAATTAATAATTCAAGGTGATAATTATATATTTAATAATAATAAAAAAAAAAAATGATATCGTTTCGGACGTCAAATTAAATAATTTTTTCTTTCTTTTCAATTATTAATATTAAACATAATTATGTTGTATTTCAATACGATTTAATTTATTGTTTTTTTGATTGCATATGTAATTTACAATAACAACAGAACATATACTACTCGAACAAAATTGTAATAAATAATTAACAAATTACACTAATACAAAAAATAAAAAAAAACATATATATATATATATATATATATATATATATATATATATATATTTGTATATAGTCATTCGCAATTACTATAAGTATATATTACTATTATTGAATAAGTTAATTTTTAACATAATAAATTTAAAATGTTTGCGGTTTTTATATCTTTATTTTTTTCGAGTACAGGACCAAAGCCGGCATTTTTTAAAATAACGTTTTGTTTTCTCTTTAATATTAAGTAGTCGGCATGTCGGCCCTAAAGTGGAGTCTAAAGATATTAAGCCTAATGTCTGATTGATACGTAACTTAAATTTTGAATTAAGGTTCAGGTCACAATGAATTTACTCTATACAAATTCAATTTAATATCAAAAAAAAAAAAAAAAAAACTTATGTGTACGTATAAAAAATACCGGTTGTATCTGAGAATTAAGAAATTCAACACCTAATAATTGATAATCGTTGTTGGTATTATATATATTCACATTCATTTAAATTCATAAGTAAAATATATGCCAATTTTTAAATTGCATTTAATTTAATGAATTTGCCTTCTAAAATTTCTTCATAAATTTTAATTTTATCTATAATTTGGTTTTTTTTTTTTATTTTCTCCGAAAATAGAAAAATAAAACCTTAATGTGAATTTTTTGCATTAATCATTTTCCCTATTTTTATAGATGAATATTTCAATGATTTCCAAAATCCTGCAGTTATTATTCCTTTTAAACTTTGTTGTACACTAGAGTTCCATACAATATTGTTTAAAATTAAATTTACAACTTCTTTGCATTCTTCATCATAAGCCATAGCTCTTAAAACATCTTCTGTATCTTGACAGTTTCTTACACCTTTGTTCCAAAATTCCACAATTTTTTTTTGAGGTGTCTTCGGTAAATGATTTAAATGAAAATGTTTTGCTGATGGGCTAAAAAAATTTACATGTATTTTTTTTTTTGTGCAAAAAAAAAGAAAAAAAAAAAAAAAAAAACAGGATGAAGCACTGAATGAATTTTTTTGACATAACAAACTTATAATAATTGGTCTCACTAAGCAAATAATTTGATATTTATTTTTTCACACCTGATATCCTGACTGCATGATTTTTCCGCAGATGGTTGTAGTCCATTTGCATGAGGCATTTCAACATAATCTTCGACAACTTTTATAACAGGTGAATAAAGGTTTTTAAAATTACTTAAAGCCCCACATACAATATTGTGAACCTTATTTTTGTTTTCTCCAATTTCATTCTAAAATCCCCATTGTAAGACAGTGAAGCTATTGTACTGTAAAACTGTATTTCGGAAAAAGTTTCAGGAAGTAAGAGTAAAGCGGTGTGAACAGCACTTTGAAGATTCAATTGCAAGGCTGAGACTAAATGCATTGAGTCATTTTTTTGTATAACTTTTACTGGTTTGTGTAATCTACCAGCAATATATATGTCATTCCAATCTAGCAAGTCTGATATTAAATCATTTTCTTCAATCACACCATATTTTATAACTACTTTTTCATCTTTTAAAGGTATCATGGAGTTATAATAAACTCGAGATGGTATACTGGTTTGAACTTTGGCAATAAATTTACTCCCCAAAAAACTCAAGGCTGAATAATGAGATGGATTTAACTGTAAATTTGAACTATGCCACTTCTCTGAATTTTTGACAGCAAAAATAAAATCAATCATATTTTTATTTGAACGGTTATGCAACTGATCAAAAACCCCTGATCCATATGCAAAGCAATAAGTCAAATCCTCAAGAGGAAATTTTGACAATATTCTATTGAATAATTTCGGTTGAGTTTTCAAACTGATAAACCTGTCATATTACTCTTATAAAAGTAAAACAAAGAATATATTAAGTAAAGCGTAAAGATGTTTGTAAAATAGATTAAAAAAAAAAAAAAAAAACTGTAAATAATTCATTTAAAAAAAACTCACCAACTTTTAGATTAATTATAAAAAGCTATTTATAAGATTTTGCATACTGATTCTCTATAAATTTAACCTTTTTTCTTTTTTATTAAAACATGAAAATTCACTTAATCATGCAAAGTTTTTTTTTTTCATTTTATATATAAATAAGGTAAATTATATAAGTAAATAAGGTAAATTTACTCCTAAGGTTAATAATAATAATAATAATAATAATAATAATAATAATAATAATTTATTTTCTACTTCCACGACAAAAATGTTCTAAATGGAAAGTTCGAAAAAGTGAAATAATTCATTTAGTTTGTTTTTATAAAATTTTATTTTAGTTATTTTTTGGATGCTTTTGGTTAATGTGAGATATTAGGTTTGTTTTTTTTTTTTTTCTTTATTTCTTTATTTCACGTTATTTAATAATTAATTTTTATTTTAAATTATTAAAAAATTTTTTAAAATTTATTTTATTGGGATTTTTTGTTACTGTTAAAAAGTTGGAAAGAAAATTTCTATGATTAACTTTTTGCTATAGAAAATTTGTAAAAGGGCAAAAAAGGATTTATATAATCGACCGAAGGTAAATTACTTAATTTTGTTAACTTATTATAAAACATTAATTGATATTGCATGCAAATAATTTAGACTGTCTTTACAAATGGCTAATAGTAGTTTCCGTTATTACTTTATCGCGGCACGGCGTGTAACTATCACATATATTAATTTTTATTATCGTTATAGGCATATTAAACATTATTTGGATGCCAAAAAAAAAAAAATTTTATTTATTTATTTTTATTCGTATTGCTTTAAACAGTATATAAATTATATATTTTATTAAAATTAGTATTTTTTTTCGTCAATACACTGAAGGGGTAAATTTTTCTTTTTACCAAAGTTCTCAGGCGTCCATTATTGTATTGAAATTGTTCTTATGTCTGAATTAGAAATATATTAATAATAAAAAAAAAAAAATTTTATTGTCGATCGTCAAGCTTAAAATTATCATCATTCAATAATAATACTATTTTTTTATTTATAATCATTTTCGAATTACTATTTTTAGGTGATTGGATAGGACATATTCGTAAATAAATTAAAAAAATTTTTTTTTTCTTTTTTTAATAATATTTTATTTATAAAATAATAAAAAAAATTTGTTTAAAAAATTTTTTAAACATAAATAAAAATAATAATTTGACAAATATAAATTTGCAAATGATTTATGTAGATAGAATGTGTCCAGGTTGATGAAGTAGGATTGGCCGACAGTAATATTTTCCAAAAAAAAAAAAAAAAAATGTATTGTTTAATTTTTAAATAATTATTTCAATTGATAATTAAATATAAAATATCAGTTTTAAAAAAAAAAATTTTTTTTTTTTTTTTTTGTAACTGATCTCTGAATATCTGAACAAAAAAAATGTTTAATAATTTCAACTGTTTGTTTTATTAGCATATAACTTATTATATTTAATTGTATAATTAAATACAATTGAAAACTAATTTGACTTATTCAAGTGTGGCACATTGATTTTTTTTTTTGACATATTTTAACTTCATTAAAAAAAAAATTATTATTAAATATTTGACACGGTCGATAATTTCTCTGGTTTTCTGCGAGAAAAAAAAAAAGTTCTAAAGAAGTTATTTATTATTTTTTTTAATAATAAATATATATAAATATATATATATATATATATATGTATATATGTATGTATGTATATATATATATACATAAAGATATATATATATATATTAAAAATGAAATTTTTTTTTAAAATTTCAATATTGGAATTTTTTAAACTTATTTTAATTATGTCCTCTTTCTTTTTTAAATGATACTTGAAGAACTTTTCCTTCAAATGTAGATAAATTAAGAGTTCTTATAGCTGCTTCAGCTTCTCTGTAATTTGGCATGGTAACAAAAGCAAAACCTTTGCTTTTTTTCGTTTCCTTGTCTTGTACTATTTTGATTTCCGTAATAGCACCAAAAGGACCGAATAATCTCCATAATTGAACTTCCTGAACATCCGGGCTAAGATTGAAAACAAAAATTACGTAACCCTTTCCATCGGCAGGAGGTCTGTACATGGGATCGTTTATTTGAAAAATTCCATCTGTGATATTTCTAAATCCGGGAGATGCATTTTTTCCTAAAGGATCAAATCTTAGGTTTTTTGCAGTGAAAGTGGGAGATTTACCTAAATTATGTGGGAATTTAGCTCCAGGAAAAGGTAAAAGAGTTTTTGAAATGGCATTGTTTAACATTCCGGTATTACCATAACCGGAAAAAGGCATCGTTCCCACAGAACTAATACATCCGGGCGACGAATTGGCACTTTCCTTTGATTGCCTCGCAAAACTCACGTGTATAGGAGTTGGATTTTCTAAAGGCTTCGTCTGATCTAAATTTTGTATTGCGTTTTCCGCGCACTGATGTTTTTCGAATCGAACGAATCCTATCGCCATTGCTTTTCTACCGTCTCCATTATTATTCATAACTTTTACAGTGAGTACTTTACCGTATTTGCTAAACATATTGATAAGATCCGCTTCCGTGATAGTGTTTTTTAAACCGGACACATACACGTTTGCCGTTTTTATGGGTTCGTTGGCAGGTCTTGCAAAAGAAACTTTTATTTTTTTATGTTGAAGTAAGAGTCCGTCCAAATTGCTTAAAGCGTTTTGAGCATCTTTGTGATTTTTGAATTTAACAAATCCATATCCCATAGAATGCCCAGACACCTAAAACGAAAAAAAAAAAAAAAAAAACAATGTTTTATAAATAGATATTTATTATTTACATTTAATGTTTATTAATCATAAACTTTTGCCCCTTTTATCATCTTGTATTTATAATAAAAAATAATTTCTTTTTTTTCTTTTTTTTTTTTTTTTTTCAGTTATTATCATCGAATGTTTTTTCAATAATCCAAAAACAATGATCGTCAAAAGAAAATTTAAAGAAGAGAAAATGAAGTTATACCTTATTCATAATTAATTTGCAACTTTCTATTTCTCCAAAACTTTCAAACATTTTTTGTAAATCTGTTTGAGTCATAGTATCCGGTAAGTAATTGACAATTAAATTATTGTGATCGGTTGGTGTGTTGGCTGAATTAGAAACTTGTTCCATTATTACATTTTTTCCTTGATAGTCAACCATTTTCAGTTAATTTACAAAAAAAAAAAAAATTTTTTTATTAATGAAAAAAAAAAAAAAAGGAAAGTTTTTCAGTTAAAATATAGGATTATTTTTATGTAAGGCTCCAATTTAAAAGAAAAAAAAATAAAGAGAATAAAAAAAAAAAAAAAAAAAAAAAAGCAAAGCAAAAAGTTTTAATAATTTTTAAAGTGGAGTATTGAAAACAATTCCCTGTAACATCAGAAAATTCAATTGTTTAAATTGATGATATTATGATTATTGATTTTCAATCAATAATTAAAAATAAAAAAATGATTATAACCACGCTAAATTTAAATAATTTGAAATTAAACAAATTTTTATCAAGTTTCGAATTAAAATGTCATATTTTATATTATATAACAATAATTTTAATTCTAAACTGATAATATAATAAAAACAATTTGTCAAACAAATGTTTAGAAAAAAATAATGAAATTAAAAAATAGGATTTATTTTAAGGTAAAACTAAAATAAATAATTTTATGTGAAATCATAATTTCAAGAGAGTCAGGTAAAATATAGATAAACAAAATATCATCATAAATTTCTAAGCATATTTTCTGTGTTTACTAGGGTAATATAATTATTTTCACAATTTAAAAAAATTTTCAAATATACTTCATTATTTAAATAAAATTTAAGGGACTTAAAAAAAAATTTTTTTTTTGCAATTTAAAAAGGCATGTGTGTGTATATATATATATATATATACACATAAATTACTCTCAGAATGTAGTTATTACATATAAAAAAGTTTCTTATATATATATATATAAAAAGATGAGTTGAAAAACAAATAATTTTATAAAATACAAAAGAAAATTAAATGTTATATTCAACTCATTGAAAAAAACAAAACAAAAAAAAAGTTTTTATTAATAATTTATGTGGAAATATCAATAATAATTAAAATAATGAAGTAATTTGAAAATTTTTTTTACCAACAATAAAATAATGAATTGTAAACAATAAAGTTTTGATAATAATAAAAACAGAAAATTATTTGAAAGTATTAAAAAAAAGGAAACTTTATAACAATAAAATTAAAAAATGATAATAATAATGTATACTACATATATATATATAGTATTAATTGTTTGTTTTTGTGGTTGTTATTCGTAATATTAGTTATAGAAATTATAAAAAAAATAACAATAATAACAATAATAATAATAATAATAATAAAAGTTTACAAAAATTAAACTGATAATAATAATAAAAATTAAATTTACAAAAATTAAAATAATAATAATAATAATAATAATAATAATAATTATAAAATTTACAAAAAAGTTAAAATAATAATAATAATGATAATAGTAAAATTTACAAAAGTTAAAATAATGATAATGATTAATAATTATAATAATAATAATAATAATAATTAAATTTTTTTAAATTTTAATTATAATTATAACAATAAAAATGACAACAACGACAATAATTATAATAATAATAAGAATAATAAGAATAATAATTAACAATAATAATAATAATAAAAATACAATTAA